ACCGGCCAGCGGGGAGCGGGGCTGGCCCCGGCGCACGCAGATCCCGGGGTGCTGCCCGTCCCGCGCATGGTCCCAGTGGGGCTCATGGGCAAGTCCGGCCCTGGGAATTCCATCCCGCCCTGCCCCCTTACTCTCTACTGTGTAGTTGCGTACTGCCTGGCTACGTCTAGACTACAAGCCTCTTTTGAAAGAGAGCGTCTAAACTACAAGCCAGATTTTATGAAAAAGCAAGCCGCTTTTTCAAAAGAGCATCTAGACACTTTCTTTCGAAAAAGCACGATTTGCATTCCACAGCGCCTTTTTTTGAAAGAGTACTCAGGTAATGTTCCCTCTAATCTTGGCAGAGCAGTGGCCATGTAGCTACAGCACTGTAGTTCTGTATGCAAACACAAATGGTAGGGTACGCTTGTTGCTGCAGTAAATCCTCCCCCTTAAGAAGCATTGGCCAGGTTGACAGAAGAATTCTTCCTGAGATTTAACAATGTCTACACTAGACTTAGGCTGATATAACTACATCTCTGAGGTCCCTGAGCACTGGTGCTAGGTCAATCTAAGTGGTATTTGCAGACCTGGCCTCACACACAAAACCTAAACTCCCGTTTCCTAAATTAGTGAAGATATTTGTCCTCCATAGCAGGAAGAAGGAGACTGGTATCTGTAAACATTTGTGTGGCACTCAGATACTACACTACAATCTCAGATTTACAAATTTACCAGCCAATCACACATCTCATTTAGACATACACAATCAGGCAGCACTAGAGACAAAAACAAACAAAAAGCAAATATAGTACTTGGTGTCATGATTATGAGGGTTAGCCAGCAGCCTGGGGATTAAGAGGTTAACTACACCTAGCCAGGTGGAGTGGCCAATAGGAATGTAGGTGGGACTTTCAAACTGGGACAAAGGAATTTGGGTTTTTGCCTTTCTTTTTTTCTCTCTCTGGGTGAGTCCTCTGCAGCTACAGGGAGGGACAAGCATGTCTCTCTCTCTCCAAGAAACAGTTCTTCACTTTCTGTTAGTAGGGTAAAGTTTAGGTAGGTTTTGTTAGGCTTTATTGTTTTAAGGGTTGGGTATGGGATCTGATATCTGGCACTGCTTAAGAAATGTTTGGCTTTTCTTTTTAAGTAAGTTCTAGCCCATGGTGTAATTCCTCCATGAGTATATTTTGTTACCTTTCCATCTGATCTTTACACTTGCAACAGGAATATTGTTGTAATAAAAGTTTTCTCTTTTATTTTTATTAACCTGGCATTGGTTACTTGTGTGTCCTGATTTTTATGATAGGGGTGAGATTTCCCAAATGATCTTTCCCCTAATCTCATTATTAATATTTGGATGGTGGCAGCGGAAGTTTTATTCCCAAAATCTAGGTTTTTAAGATTTTGGGGGAAGTTTTATACCAAAGCCTGGTAGATAAGGCTTTGGGGTACACTTGCTGGCCCCCACTTCTGCATTTATCATGCCAGAGTGGGGAAGGAGCCATGACACTTGGTTAAACATAATTACTAACAAAATATAACTATTTCTGTTTTAAGAGGGTTCAAAGCAGCATTTTTCTTGTGCTGTAGCAGAGTTTCAAAGATGTATTGTCAGTGCTCAGTTCTAAACTTCTGAAAGATCAACCATAACATTTCAAGCATCTACTCTGCATTTCAGAGTTATGAATAACCTCTGTTGGTGTTCATAACTTTGATGTCTTCTTAGAGTATGCAAAACATGCCTTGTGGCATGTGACCAGGATTCATCACCGAGTTTGGCCAGCCAGTTAGAACACTAGCTTAACCGCCTGGGCTAGGCACTAACAGGAAGTGCGAAAATAACACTGATCCATTCCTCCCAGTCTGAGCTTCTACTGCGCACCGATGGAGACCAGACCATGTTAGTACCGAGATAAAACTATTACGGGGGAAGCTGTTAGGGATGGAAACCCTGTTTAATTTGTTAACCAGTTAAATGTGATGTTAAACTGGTTAAAGAAGGGGTGGTCTGTAGCGGTCACCCTTCTCGCACACAGGGGCTGCTCTGGACGGTCGGAGCAACCCCCTGCCTGCAACATGCCCAGCCCAGCCACTGAGGGGAGCTGCTCTAGTCGGGATGCATCGCCCCTGTCCGCTGCAGGCCCCACGGAGCTAAAGCAGCCCCCTGCCCACAGTAGGCAGGGAGCTGCTCCAGACCGGAACCGATAAGCATCACTTTCTCATCCCCAGAAGCTATGACCTTCTCCCTCGCACCAGTCATCTACCGCCCCCCCCCCTTCCCCGTTTCTGAACAAGTCTAGGAAAAACATGCCCCATGTATTGTATTGCTCTGTCCCCGCCAAGCCTTGTGGCTCAGGCACTGGCCTGGGACACTGGAGAGTTGGCGTCAGTTCCCATCCCGCAGCCTTCCTGTCGGACTTTAGTTCCTTCTGGAAGAGGTTGCTGGGGTGCGCTCGTGAACATCTGCGCGGCCGGGAAGCAGCTGTCTGCAAGCTGGGCGCTCGGCGTTGTCTGCCCGCCCTCCGGGGCGCGCTCCAGCGCCACTCCCTAGCTGCAGCGCCGTCACTCCTCGGATCCGGGGTGGGAGCCAAGGGGCAGGGTCCAAGCGTGGCCTTGCACTGCCCCGGGCCCGGCCCTGCCCCCAGCAAGGCCCAGCACAAGTGCAGTAAC